TTAACTGCCATGATTTTGCTCTGTTGCCACAATTTCCAGAATTCCATAGCATTGAGCCATGGCAGTTAAAGTGGTGTCAAACCGGATTATTTCTGCAGTGCGGTTGAAGCCCTGGTGTATTTGAAGAGGGAGAACTGGATGCAAGCCTCCATGAATAGGCAGGTGCAAAGAAGGCGAAACATCTCATAAAACTCCAAATCCCAAATCTTTCTAATTGTTTTCCCATTTGTGCAAGCCTTTCTGAAAATTATGCTTTCTCTTCTTTGCCAAACTTCAACTTCCTTTCCAATCTTTCCCCCCAAAACACATCAAAGAAGATAAACTGAGTATGAGTCAATGTTTAAGAGCATCAAAGATGCTTCTCCAGATTTCCAAAAGGTGCATTTCCACTCCTCTCTCCATCGTCCCCTTTGTTTACACATTGTTGTTTTAAAATATTGTTTAAAAAGAAATGTTTGAAGACACTAGAAACACCCGGAGGGATTTCTCTTCTGTCTGCATCCTGCATGTCTTGAAACTCAAATGCAGCAATCTAAAAGGGTATAAAGTAAAATGAGGTTTAGCCAAGGAAGAAAGGGAGCCCTATAATTGCCCAAGGAGCAGGACAATGTTGCTGCAACGAAGAGGTTTTTTTGGTTGGAAAAATACCATTGCTTATTCTGAGACACTATCATGGAGCCATAATGCAATTTAAAGAGATTTGCTTACTATTGATACTGATGGTAGTTTCCTCTCAGACAGAAATTGCCCACAAAGATCTGGAGTGATGAATCTTTGCAAGGGAGCAAATGGTCTGTCACCTACTCTGCAGTTTTCTTTAATTCATAAAGATTTTTGTTCATGAAATGCTTTTGGCCCCAAAGGCGGTGAGAAAAGGTTTCTTTCTTGCTACAAAGGATGCAAACAAGCTTCAAATGCACACATTGCTGCATACATTGCCAACATTATTGTGCACAGAAGCACAAAATGCAAACTCATTTTGCTCCATTTAATCTTCTACCTTTTCCTAAGAACTGCAGAAGAGAGCCAGTGTGGTTTGTTTTAAACTGCTTTTTAATTTCAATGAGTTTAATTCTTGCCAGAATCCTATTTCACCTTTTCTTTAATGTAACTTTTCATATACTTTGCTCAATTGTGGAGAGGCAGTGTGGAGTAGTGATTTGAGAGCTGGACTGGGGTTCGAATCCCAGCTGGGCCATGGAAATACATGAGTGACCTTGGGCAAGTCACACACTCTCAGCCTCAGGTGAAGGCGATGGCAAACCTCTGCTGAACAAATCTTGCCGAGAAAACCCCATGATAGGTTTGGCTTAGGGTTGCTGCAAGTTGGAAATGACTTGAAGGCACACAACAAGAAGAACAGCGTCTCTCATCATGGGCAGTGCTGGACTATACATCCCCTCACCCAGGATGTAAAGCATATGGCATGCTGGGTGGGGATGGTAGGAATGACAGTACTATGTTTCTACTAGAGAATAGCAAGATGGGAGGCAATGAGATGGCTCAATGCATTCACCTGAGATATTGTTGCAGGAAAATGATCCTCCACCATTTTTTGGGAGGAGAAGATAATATGAGGAGAGCTTTCCATAGGAAACCAATGCATGTCCCACCTCTCTTCCCACTCCAGCAGCCTTGATGAATCGTAATAGGTTTTGATCTGCAATTGCGGTTAACTTTTGGTAATGCACTCAAATTACTTTAACGGCACGGAGCTGAAGGCGCCAAGCGGGTGATGCTTCCACTTGTAGCCCATTATTTCTTTATTGATTTTCAACTCCCCCCCCCAGATCTACAGCCCTTTAAAAATGTCATTAAGTGGACATAAAAGGGAAAACGCTGATGACAGTGTAGCTACCCATAAAGCCAATAACAAGCTTTTATAACATTTTGTATCATAAATAGGGAGTCACCGCATCCGCATCTTTCTCTAATTCCTCTGTGAGAGTATCTGCACTACACCATTTGTAGCAAATTGATACCAGTTCGAGTGTCATGGTGCCATTTGAGGGGGATCCTGGGATTTGTAGTTTGGTCTGAGCTACACTGCAGAAAATCCAAAAGGACCTCAACAACTACATATCCCACGATCCCATAGGATGGGGCCTGCTACTCCTAGGAAAAGCTTCAGGAGCCAAGGACAGGATGCTGAATATACCTCACATTTTCTAAAATATAGTCTTGATGATTGCCAATGATTATTTATTTATTTTCCCCTAACTCTGTGTGCATCTTCTTGATTTTCTAGTTATTGAAACTCTCCCCTTCTCACTCCACCATCACTTCCTTTTTTTCTGTTAAAGTTGGTTCCCAGACTTTGAGACTTGACTTAAAAGTATCTTGCAAGGACTTGGGACTCAATTTGAGATCTGATGGTAAAAGCTTGAGAGACCTGACCTGAGACTTGGAGGAAAAGAGCTGTGCCAAACTCCACCATTTAGTTGCCTGTGAAGTGTGCAGTGTGCCAGAGAAGCATCTAGTTGTGTGTCTGACTATAGCAAGGATGCACACCAACAAAGTCTTCTCTGGGACCCCTCTGGAGTAGGGAACTAAATCTTCAACTAAATCTTCAACCAGGGGTCATCTAGTCCACCCCAGCCCATTTTGCCATGCAGGAATATACAATCCAGGCCCTCCCTGTGGCAGATGGCCATCCAGCCTCTGTTTAAAGACCTCCAAAGAAGGAGACTCCACCACCCTCCATTGAGGCAGCATATTGCCTTGTTGAAGAAGAGCTCTTACCATCAATAATGTCTTCCTAAAGTTGAGGTGGATTCTCTTTTCCTGTCATTTGCATCTATTGTTCTGGGTCCTGTTCTCTGGAGCAGCAGAAAACAAGCTTGCTCCCTCCTCAACATGACATCCTTTCAAGTATTTAAACATGGCAATCGTGTCCCCTCTTAACTTTCTCTTCTAATCTTGATTGTTCAATCTGCTGCAATAAAATCTGAACAGAGTCCTCCAGGCTCCTTACAATCCACCATAAGGCAGATGCGA